GGTTAGTACGGTGAATGAGTCTGGCAGCAGCATTCATGATGGACTGGAGTGGGGATAGCCTGCGATGAGGTAGGCCAGTGAGGACGGAGTTACAATAGTCAAGGTGTGATATAATAAGGGAGTGAATAAGTTGCTTAGTGGTTTCCGAGGTTAGGAACAGGCGTATCTTGGAGATGTTGCGGAGGTGAAGTCTACATGAGTTTGTCAGTGATTGGATCTGGGGCTGAAAGGACAGATTGGAGTCTAGGATTACACCTAGTACCCTGGTGTGAGGGGTGGGATTGATGATTGTGTTGTTGATCTTGATGGAGAAGTCGGGGGGGGGGGGGGCACGGGCTGGGGGGAATACTAGAAGCTCAGTTTTGGAAAGGTTGACTCGGAGGAAGTGGAGTGACATCCATGCCGATATGTCACTTAGTAGGCTGGTGATGCGTTTGGAGACTGAGGGGGTGAGGTGAGGGGTAGAGAGATAGATTTTTGTGTGTTGTCGGCATAGAGATGGTAGTTGAAGCCATGGGAGTTTAGCAGTTGGCCAAGGGAGGAGGTGTAGATGGAGAAGAGAAGGGGTCCGAGGACAGAGCCTTGAGGGACCCCGACAGAGAGGGGGAGTGAGGGGGAGGTGACAGCGTTATAGGTAACACTGAAGGAGCGTTGGGATAGATAGGAGAACCAGGAGAGAGCGGAGTCTGAGGCCAAGAGAGTGGAGTTTTTTGAGGAGGAGGAGGAGATGGTCAACCGTGTTTAGGTCTCCATAATGCCGCAAAACTCTAAGAGAATTTCAGTGTATTAGGAGTGTGAAAGATTTTAACATGTAACCTGGTGCAGCGTGCACACCGTGGAAACCACTCTAGGCATATTAAACTGTATTACACCTTTGATGTTTGACAGTGAGGGGTTAACCTCTAATGAGCGAGTATCTCGCTAGCACTGACATGGGTTCCTGACGCCTCTGCTCGGTATGTGGAGGCCGTTTCTGCTCTCAGGCTTGGCTCACGCAGATTTCTCAGCTTGCAGCCCACACAGACAGGTTTTATGTTATCTCACGGATCTATTACCAACTGCAATGTGCGAATTCCATGAGGAGGTGTAAACGCAGGAGCCATCACTTTTCGTTGTCTGACCTATTTCATTGTTCTTATTCAAGAAAAAAATTGTTTATATTGTTTAATTTTAATAGATTTAAATAGTGGGATGATCTCTGGTCAGAACTAATTTTGGTCTAAAGTTCAACAGCAATTTCTATTTGTTTTGGCTCTGCATCTGTAATTCGCAGCTCTAGCACCTCTTGCTGCAGTTAATCTCTTAGGGCTCAGGAGCTGTTCAGAGTTTTTTTCAGCAGCCCCTGAACTCTCCCTAATGTTTTCCTATGTGTCCATGTACACATCGTCGTTTACAGGCAGTTGAGTTTACAGTCGTTTTTTTTTGAATGCACCAAACTTGCGTTCAGGAGTAGATTTTACTGGTGTTTCAAACACCAAATGCTTGTAAACGCGGTTAGCCGCGTTTATTAGAGTTTGCGTTTATAAGCGTTTTTTAACTGTTCCATGTCCAGATGCTGTCCAGAGCCTTTTTTTCATCATCAGAAATACATGCAAAGCGTTTTCCATGTATTCAAATGGACCCGGTACACCAGTGCAGTCAGTTCCAGGTTTCACGTGAAGGAAACAATGGTAGAACGTGCCGCATTATGCTCATGATGGGATCCATAGTGAATACAACCAGAAAAGACAGGTCATCTCAACACATACTGCTCCCTCTGCTTCTGCTCTCTCTATTTCTCTCAAAATGTCTGAAATAGTTCATTATTATTTTTCAGTGCATTCTGGGCATTTTGGAAGGTCTCCTGAGGTTATCTTTTAAGAACGCTTCTAAACGCAAACGCACATAAACGCGGTTTGCAAACTTGCCTAAACTGACATTTTTTACCGTACGTTTCCAGCAGTCAGTTTCCATCGCTCAGAAGAGTCCCGTGTACATGAGCCCTTACCTTCTAAAGACCCTTGTAGGCTGTAATTGTTTACAATGACTGCACAACAAGGCTAGTAACACTCTTATAGTCATCTCCATCTTTGCTCCACTCCATGTCCATCTATTGTGTGTAAGTAGCTGCAGTGCCTGCAGGAATCAGCCAAAGTTCAAGACGTGTATGGCCAGTCGTCTTCTTTTTTTAGATTATGGCTCTTACAAGCAATCGTTCAATTCAATAGAATGAAATGGCTGTGATTAGACATGGAAAGTGATGATGATACATAGTGATAGATTATCCCCCCTTTTCTGCATCGGCAGATTTCTTTAGGCCCCCTTTACATCTTTACTTTGTGGTGCATTTCATTAATGCACAATGTTTTAAGGCAGCCCATTCATGTGAATAGTCTGCAAATTCACGAGAATGGAAAAAAAAAAACTATATAGCCATGGCCAATAATATTGGCACTCCTGCATTTCTGTCAGATAACGCACCGCTTTGCCCAGAATATTGTTGCAATTACAAATGTTTAAACATTCTCATGTTTATTTCTTTTGTTTGCATTGGTATGACACAAAACAGTGGAGAATCAAAAAGCCAAATTTGACAACCCCAAAAATGGACTGGACAAAATTATTGGCACCCTCAATTTAATATTTGGTAGCACACCGCTTTAGAAAAAATAACTGAAATCAATGGCTTCCTGTAACATCAATGAGTTTCTTCCACCTCTCTACTGGAATTTTGGACCACTTTTCTTTCTCCAACTGCTCCAGGTCTCTCAGATTGGACGGGTTCTTTTTCCTAACTGCTGTTTTGAGATCTCTCCACAGGTGCTCTATGGGATTGAGATCTGGACTCATTGCTGGCCAGTTCAGTACTCTCCAGCACTTTGAAACCATTTCTGGGTGCTTTTTGACGTGTGCTTTGGGTCATTGTCCTGCTGTAAGGCCCATGACCTCTGATGGAGACCCAACTTTCTGACACTGGGCCCTATGTTGCACCCCAGAATTCTTTGTCAGTCTTCAGAATTTATAATGCCATGCACGCGGTCAAGACATCCAGTGCCTGAAGCAGCAAAGCAACCCCAAAACATCAGTGAACCTGCACCATGTGTGACTGGAGGGTCTGTATTCTTTTCTTTAAAGTCCTCATTGCTTTTTCTGAAAACAGTAGAATGATGGGCTTTGCCAAAAAGCTGTAATTTTTATTCACAGCACGTTTTTGTCCACAGCACATTCTTCCAAAAGGATTTTGTCTTCCGGTAAGTTTTGGCAAACTCCATTCTGGCTTTATGTTTCTGTGTCAGCAGTGGGGTCCTCCTGGGTCTCCTACCATAGTGTCCCTTTTCATGGCGACATATAGTGGGAGCTGACACAGTTGTGCCCTTAAGGTCAGCTTGAATTTGTCTGAAGTTGATCGAGGTTCTTTATACACCATTTGAACTATCCTTTTTTGTAATCTTTGATCAGTTTTTCTCTTGCATCTCTGTCCAGAGAGATTGGCTACAGTGCCATGGGCTGTAAACTTCTTGACAATGCTACGCACAGTGGACACAAGAGCATTAAGATCTTTGGAAATGGACTTGAAACCTTGAGATTGTCCATGCTTTTCCACAATTTTTGTTCTCAAACCTTCAGACAATTCTTTGCTATTCTTTCTCTTCTCCATGCTCCATGTGGCATACAGAGACACACAACAGAAAGGTAGAGTCAATTTTTCACCATTTTAACTGGTTGCCGGTGTCATTTCTATATTGTCAGCATCTGTTAACTGATACAGGTGAGTTTTATTACAAATGACAGGAGCAAGACAAAGTTGGAATGCAATTATTTCTTACAATTTTGAGAAGGTGCCAATAATTTTGTTCAGTCCATTTTTGGGGTTTTGCGTGGAATGTGTCAGATTTGGCTGTTGGTTTCTTCACTTTTTTGTGTCATACCAATACAAACAAAAGAAATAAACATGAGAATGCCTAAACATTTGTAAATGCAACAATTTTCTGGGTGAAGTAATGCATTATCTGACAGAAATGCAGGGGTGCCAATATATTTAGCCATGACTGTATCTGCACGTTTTTAACCAACATGGCGCACCACAGTGCACAGTAGCGCGTTACGGTGTATTCCAGTGCATTGCAGTGCAACGTTGTCCTTATATGTTGAAATGCAACTGAAAATATACGGCATCACAACGCACTTATTATTTATGTGTATTGTGGCAAAATGCTTAGTTGAGAAGATGTTCTTAAAGTGAGAAAAATATGGGAGCTCCCATTGCTGGTCCTCTTTAAAAATGCTTGTTGCCTGGTTTTCAATCATGTATCTGGAACTAGCGTGCTATAAAATAGTGTCAGAATTGTCAGGGACCTGGAAAGCTTTTAAGTCAATGTATTAGCTTGACAGCCAGGGAACTAATGTTTTCAAGTTAGAGGCCAGCAATAGCAGATGCCATACTTTTCTAATGGCAAGGTCACTTTAATAAATCCATAAAAATAATTTCTAATTCCTTTTTTTTTAATCTTAAAGCTGAAGTCCAGACTACAGAAAGCATTACCCTTGCAGTGGTTACCCCTCCACACTTAGTTAAATGCTCATTTTGTTTAAGGGGGGATTGGAATATCGTGGTATACTTATTTATGACTCCTTTAGGTTTCTCCTTGCTTCACAACTGATCTTGTGAAGCCGTCTCTCTTCTCTGTCCAACTGGTGGTAGCTCTCATGCTGCATTCAGCTAGCCTGCAGGGTAAAAATCAGCCTTTTACCATGCAGGCTAATGCAGTGTCGGCTCTGACTTTGTACATGAGGATGTCCTGGGCCCATGAACATACCACAGGAACATTGAACAGTAGTAGAAGGTGCTGGCTGCTGGGGGAGCAAGGGATAACTTAATTGCCTTATCCAACATCCCCTAGCCATTTTCAACCAGGGTGGAATTTTTCCCACTGACCAACAATGTAAGGAACGCTCTTCCTACTGTCCCCACCAATATAACTGGGCATTCTTCCCACTGACCACCAATGTAAGTAACGCTCTTCCTACTGACCACCAATATAAGGGCATTCTTCCCACTGACCACCAATGTAAGTAACGCTCTCCTACTACTGACCACCAATATAAGGGCATTCTTCCCCCACTAAAGGACATTCTTCCCCAATGTAAGGAACGCTCTTCCTACTGACCACCAATATAAGGGCATTCTTGCCCACTGACCACCAATGTAAGGAACGCTGTTCCTACTGACCACCAATATAAGGGCATTCTTCCCACTGACCACCAATGTAAGGAACGCTCTTCCTACTAACCACCAATATAAGGGCATTCTTCCCACTGACCACCAATGTAAGGAACATTCTTCCTACTGGCCATCAATGTAAGAGAGGTATCCTTTGCACTGAGCACCAATGTAAGGAACATTCTTTCTAGCTGACCACCAATGTAAGGGGCATTATTTCCATTGACCACCAATGTAGGGGGCATTCTTTCCATTGACCACCAATGTAAGGGGCATTCTTCCCACTGACCACCAATGTAAGGGGCATTTTTCCCACTGACCAGCAATGAAAAGAGCATTCTTTTCAGTGGCCACCAATGTAAGGATCATTCTTCCAACTGAACAGCACACTAATGTATTTAGTAAGCTGTTGATTTAGTAATTATTAGAAGTGGTTCCCTGAGACCAGAAAGTTATTTCAGGGGTCCCTCCATGTTAACGTGTTCCCGCTGGCTGTACACATTTATGTGGCTGTTGGCAGGTGCGCTTTAACACTGAGCATTAGTATAACTTTGCTCGGAGTTCAGCTTTAAATGACCTTTAGAGGGTAGCTATTAATGGTCAGAGTATTGGAAATCTGTATACACGTGTCTTGTGGATCTTTCATTTTTTTTTGTTTAAACAGACACTGAATGTGACAGCTGAGGCATATGTTTAGAGATGAAAGTGATGGAGCGGCCTCTGTACCAACACATAAGAGAGAATTGCTAAACTGCTTTTAGTTGACAGTCTTTGAACATTGCTGGGAACCAAGCTGCTTTCCTAAAGAGACCCCCAGCACTAAGTATGAACCCTGCAGGGCCCTTTTACATAAAATAAAAAGGTTTTAAACTAAACAAATCACTTTGTAATCTTCAAAGAATACTCCCACCTTTTCATTCCCACCAGCCAACAAAGAATATGTCAGCAGCAAAAGTACTTTTTATATTTTTAGAGCAGTTTATTTTTTAATGGCTTTTAATTTTTTAATATTTTTTAAATTTTTTATTGTGCTTCAAATTCAGTAAATGGTTCTGTACTTCCTGTCACTCTAACAAGCATCAGATGTGGAAATAATAAAAAATTCTGAATAATTTTTCTCAATTATTTATAAAATAAAATACTGAAAAATCTTGATTTGCATAAAAAACACCTTATTTTGCCCTGAAATCTCCAAACAAGCTCTTGATCAGTTGTCTTCAGAAGTTATATAATAAGTTGAATAGAGTCCACCTCACTTTGAAAAACACCCCCAAGCATATCTAGCAGTGGCCATCTTTAGTAAGGGCAGATTTTTCATGTAGCATTTACTTCCTGGAATCCATCTGCACTTAGCTGATGCATGTAGGCAGGAAGGTGTGTTTAGCTGAGAAAGCCCCTTCTCCGGATGAAAGGAAAACAAAATGCACTTGAAGACTCCTGGGGTGTATGACATTATTTTGGCTTAGGCCAAAAACCAGAAACTGAAAAAATGTTAAAAAAAAGAATTAAAACAAGTAAATATACCTTTTCTATTTACTAATGCTAGCAGCATAAGGATTAAAATATATGAATGTTTATTAAGAATGTTTAGTTCTGCTTTAAATGTTTCAGCATGCTCATGTTTTATTTTTTTTGGTTTGTATTGGTATGTCACAAAAAAGTGGAGAAACAAAAAGCCAAATCTGACACATTCCACGCAAAATTCCAAAAATGGACTGGACACAGTTATTAGCACCCTCAATTTAATATTTGGTAGCACACCCTTGAAAAAAGTAACTGAAATCAATCGCTTACTGTAACCATCAATGAGTTTCTTATGCCTCTCTACTGGAATTTTAGACCGCTCTTATTTCGCCAACTGCTCCAGGCCTCTGAAATTGGAAGGGTTTCTTTTCCCAACTGCTGTTTTGACATCTCTCCACAGGTGCTCTATGGGATTGAGATCTGGACTCATTTCTGGTCAGTTCAGTACTCTCCAACGCTTTGTCTGAAATAATTTCTGGGTGCTTTATGACATGTGCTTTGGGTCATTGTCCTGCTCTAAGACCCAGGACCTGTAACAAAGACCCACCTGTCTGACACTGGGCCCTACATTGCACCCCAGAATTCTTTGGTAGTCTTCAGATTTCATAATGCCATGCACACGGTCAAGACATCCAGTGCCTGAAGCAGCAAAGCAACCCCAAAACATCAGTGTACCTCCACCATGTTTGACTAGTATCTGTATTTTTTAAAGGCCTCATTGCTTCTGAAAACAGTAGAATGATGGGCTTTACCAAAAAGCTGTAATTTTGTTTAGTCTGTCCACAGCACATTCTCCCAAAAAGATTTTGGCGTACTCAGGTAAGTTTTGGCAAACTTTAATCTGGCTTTTTATGTTTCAGCAGTGGGGTCTTCAGGGCTCCTACCACAGCGTCTTTTTTCATTCAGATGACGACATATAGGGGGACCAGTCCTTAAAGTGGAACTTCCCCTTTTGGGTGGAGCTCCACTTTAAGTAGCAGCAGTGAATTTATTATTTTTATATTTTTTATTTTATTTTTTACTTATTTGCTTGGAGAGGGGAAATAAATTTTTGACCCTTTGACTGTCTTTTTCTGTGAGGTTACTAGTCTCTTAAACTGGGTTTTCTCAACTCTCAGGAGCTGGGAAAACTGGACTGACCATTCCTAATTTGTAAAGGGGCTCAGCATTTTAATTTCTCACACTTTGCCCGTGCTACCATTGGGGGAATTAAGAGCAGAATCTTGTCCCAGGGTGGAGTTAAAAATGTATATTTTTGCCACTGGATTTCAGTTCCAGGTGTGCCTAAGAGCCTGTGTGTGTCCACCCGGGCCATGGCCGCCACTGAACCTGTTTCAGAAAGGGACCCGCAATCTGTTCTCATCACTGACTTCTTCGGCAGTGTCCGGAAAGTGGAAATCACTGAGGGTGGTGTGAAACTGAAAACCCATATGCTGGCTGGAGACAACTGAGAAAAGGTAGTTTTCATGATAGAGCGTGGTGACAGTATATTAGATTTTATTTATTTATATATATATGGCTATATATATATATATATATATATATATATATATATATAAAAATAAATAAATATGGGGGGAAATGTGGAGTAGTTGCCCCCCCCCCCCCTTCACACAGTGTCCAATGTCCAGCAGCCCAGCCCTCCCCCCCCCCCCCCCCCCCCCCCACCCATCCTCTGGGGCTCCAATGCCTCCCTTGTGCAACGATGGGGCACAATCCAGTCCATGCAGCTTCTGTGAAGGGGATGTGTGGGCTCCTCCATGCATTCCCTCCTTCCTTTCTCCCTTTCTTTCCTCCCTCCCCACCATGTGATGATAGGACTTGTATTCCCACACATACATGGGGAGCTGTATATCAAACTGAGTCCCAAAGATTATATCTCAAAGCTCCAAGGAATATATATTTTTTTTATTTTGCAATGCCACTTGAGTCCCAAACATGGTGAATTGCATCACACTGAACCCCACCAGAAGACATAGAACTGCAAGTCCCCAGCAGGTTACAGATAAAGCTCTGAGGCAGATGGATGTTCATGTCTTTCCTGTGATACCTGGGACTTGTAGTTCCACACACACAATAAGGGCACTCAACCCAAGTCCCCAGGTCAGAGATAAAGCTCTGAGGCAGATGGATCCTTCATGTCTTTCCTGTGATGGGGACTTGTAGTTCCCACACACACATAAGGGAATCACATCAACCAAGTCCCAGCAGGTTAGAGACTAAGCTCTGAGGCAGATGGATGTTCATGTCCTTTCCTGTGATGATGGGACTTGTAGTCCCACACACACATAAGGGAATCACTATCAACCCAAGTCCCCAGCAGCTGATGTAGAACTGCCAGCAAGTTGTAGATGAAACTTCAAAAGCGCAAGTGCCAATGACTTTCTTGTGAATGGAAAGGAGGGGGAGGAATGCTTGAGAATTGTCTGCCTATAGGCTCCTGAGAAGTAAATAGCCCTGCCCCTAGGTGGTCATTGATATTGTTTCAGTGACAGAAGCATGTAGGACTAATTGTTGGAATAAAAGGCAATGCAGCAAACTCTGTTACTTAGCTTAGGGCACCTCCTAGTGTACAATAGTGGGTAATGCTTTGGCACTACAGTATTCTCAAACAGTGGCCCCTGTATTGTAGTCTATAGCCATCTTTCCCAACCTATTTTTACTCAAGGCCCTTTAGAATTCTGCAGAATACATTATAAAACGTCATGTCCTAAAAAACAAAACTAAAATTTTGACATATCGCACCAACATGTGCCCAATGTTAGAGGTGATTTATTCTTCCAAAACAAATACACCTTTGCACACTGGTATTGCCGCCTATTCATTGTTCTTCATCCTCACTCGGCATGTGACCCCGGAAAGTGAAATGACAGAGGGAGAGTGGATAAACTGAAACACCCACCCAACATTCTCAACTGAAGAAATTGGTTGTTAGATAGAGATGAGCGAATTATTCAAAAATTCGATTCGGCTGATTCGCCGAATTTGCGGGAGAAATTCGATTCAATGCGAATTTATTCGCCGCGAATTTAACTATATTTAAAGGGTTTCTAGGCTTCAGAGACCCTTTATATTAGTGCAGAACACTGTACCTTTAATTTAAATGCCCTTGGAGTCTGCTGGGGAAGAGAAATAATACTGTCAGTCAGTATGACATGCAGATGAGTGCCGTCGATCTTAGAATCACCGCACACTTCACTCATTTGGGCAGTCACGGGGCACGACGAAGAAGAAGAAGAATGAAAAGAAGAATGAAAAGAAGAAGAAGAATGAAAAGAAGAATGAAAATCCTCTGCTCCAAAGCCTCCCTGAAAAGAAGAATCCCCACAATCCAGTCCATGCAGCTTCTGTGCAGAAGGGATGAAAAGGGAAGAAGAATGCAAAGAAGAAGAAGAATGAAAAGAAGAATGAAAAGAAGAAGAATGAAAAGAAGAATGAAAAGACTTGTAGAAGAACAACATACATGGGAAGAATGTAAAGAAAACTGAGAATGAAAAGAAGATTATATCTCAAAGCTCCAAGAATGAAAATATTTTTTTATTTTGCAATGAAAAGAAGAAGAAGACTTGTAGAAAAAACATGGTGAATTGCATCACACTGAAAAGAAGAATGAAAAAGAACTGCAAGTCCCAAGAATAAAGATAAAGCTCTGAGGCAGAATGTTCATGTCTTTCCTGTGATGCTGGGACTTTCCACACACAGAAGGGAATCAACCCAAGAATCACAAAAGAAGAAGAAGAATGAAAAGGAAGAAGAATGAAAACTTGAAAAGAAGAATGCCAAAGAAGAATTTCTTGTGAATGGAAATGAAAAGGGGAGGAAATGCTTGAGAATGGTCTGCCTATAGGCTCCTGAAAAGAAGAAGAATCCATGAAAAGCCCCTAGAAGTGAAGAAGATTGAAAAGTTTCAGAAGACAGAAGAAATGTAGAAGAAATTGTTGAAAAGAAGAAGAAGAAGAATGCAAAGCAGCAAACTCTGTTACTTAGCTTGAAAAGAAGAAGAAGACCTCCTAGAAGTACAATGGGTAATGCTTTGAGCACTAGAAGAATGAAAAAAGAAGAATGAACCCTGAATTGTACAGCAAATAGTGTATCTGCAGAGAACTCCGCTTTTTCTCAAGGCCCTTTGAATTCTGACAGAGTTCATTTAAAAGCGGTAAAAAAACATTGTATCTATTTATTTCCGAATGAAAAACATCTGTATCCTAAATGGAAACAAATAGATACAATGTTTCAACCGCTGTAAATGAACTGTCAAAACAAATACACCTTTGCGGAGCTCTCTGGCATTGCCTACTTTTCCATTGTTTCTGATCGGGGAAAATTCGAGCTGCATGTGACCCCAGTTTGCTGACAGAGATTCGAGAGGGATCAATGCCAATCGAATCTTTCCTGTATTTGAAACGAATTCCACTTCGCCATTCGATTCGCTCATCTCTAGTTGTTAGGACACTGGTGGCTGGAAGGTCATTATGGTGCACAGTGAAAATCTCTGGCTTTGTGTACCTAAAAGGCAGACTTGATCCACCTGCTGGCTTATATAAACTTTCTGCGCAACTTTTAGGCATTTTGCCAATGTACCCCTGAAGAAATCTGAAGAAATCTCATGCTGCCTGGGCATTCTGGTTGAAAAGGCTGGTCTATAGAACCATGTTCCCTTCAAAAGAATAATCATACTTACAAGGTCTAGTATAACTTCATGAGCTGATTGACTGACTGAGCTAATAGAAAATGTAATAATTACATAAATACTAAGTACCACGTCCATTATGCCACTTGGGGAACACGGTGTTATAAGTGCCTTCTTCTCATTCCCCAGTGGCAAAATGAAAGGAACAAAGCAATGGTCCCCTAGTGGCAAAACAGATCCCAGGCAGCACAGCAGAAAGACACATGACTCAATTAAGTCTGGTCGTCGCTTCTCAGACTATCTATGCTGAACACCATGCCTCCCTCTCCGTGGCCTGCTGCTGTGCTAGATCCCGGTCCGCTCTAGACATCAAATGGGTTAGCAGATGCAGGGACAGCAGTGTGCACTGGTCCTGGGTTCACCTTCCTCTGCTCAGAGCCAGGACCTTTGTTGCAGCATATCTATAGCACACAGGCAGCAGCTTAGGTTCCAGTCTCTCTCCTCACCCTGACGTGGCATTGCTCATAGCCTGGCACCATGCCACCTGTTGTGATACCCTTCCTTACACTGTGCTGCGGAAGTGCAGGATAGAAGTTCCATGCGCCCGGTGCTGTTTAGCTGCTGGAGCCAGTAGACTGCTACTGAACAGAGATATGCTGACAGCTCTGCAATTTTGTTGGCTTCTTTCCATCTAGGCAGCTTGCAGAAAGTAGCACAGTATCACTGCTTCAGCACTTAAACACTTAGGGCTCGTTCACACTAGGCTGTTTTAGCAACGCTTTCCAAACGCCCCTATAGCGTTTGGCAAGCGTTGGTCCGGCGTTTGCGGAACGTTTTTTAACGCTCGGCAAACGCCGCATGCGCGGTTCAGCGGCGTTCGCGTTTGCCGAGTGTTAATAACGCCCCACAAACGCCTATAATGCAGTTTGAGCGGTGTTACCGCTCCGCAAATGCCCCGCAATCGCATCGCAACCGCACCGCAAACACCGGCCGTTTGCGGAGCGGCACCATAGATGAGAATAGGAGGCTTCAACGCCTCCTGACTCGACCAGAGGCGTCCGTTTTGCCGCGACGCGACACAAACGCTCCCGTTAGAACAGCACCATGTGATGTAATGTGCAGAATTGGCAGAGGTGTTTGGGAAGCGGTAAAAACGCTTCCCAAACGCCTCTCTGCCGCCTGCACACAACGCTAGTGTGAACGTAGCCTTAGACTGCCTGTCGTTCACTTCAGCAGCACAGTGCACACATGTCACTCCTACCCACCTAATTCCCCCCTCTCCCAGTCAAAGTGTCTCAACACCCACCTCAGCCTCCTCCTGTCACCCCCATCCCAGCATATAGCAGCTCCCAACCAATCCACCCCTTTACTACCCCTCCTACTGGTCACAAAGCCTGCTCAGCTCACCTTCCCTTTACACCGCCATCTACCTCCACCAAGACCCATAATTATCTTCTCTCAGCAAGAAGGATACTAATTATTCCAGGGGTGTCAATCAATTTCAGTCCAGGCCACATCAGCATTATAGTTGCCCTCAAAGGGCCAATTTTATCTGTATGACTATATAAATGTATCTACTCTTTATCATATTAAATCATTGCCTGTTCATTTTATTATTACTGGTTTTAGTATGAGGGGCGTTCAAGTCAAACTGGGACTCTTGAGTTTATATAATAAAGAAACAATTGAGTACTGTCCTCGATACTTTTTTTATTTGCACTAACATACAATTTTGAGGACTAGCTTTCGGGGAGTGTCCCCTTCTTCAAGGTCCAAGCAGTACTAAACAAATCACAAAGTTTTAGCAGAATGTTAGAAGAGATGGAAAAAAAAAAAAAAGAGGCTAGAGATA